GATTTGCATTGATGGATCTTCTTTCCATGGGGATGTCATGTATCAGTGCCTGGGCACATCACGCCCCGCTCATTAATCAAATCATAGCCTCCGTCTAAAGCTATGTGTCCGCCAGCCGCTTCTCATCCGTCTACCTCGCTCTCTCTCTTTCACTTTGCAGCAGCCTCGCTCAGCCTTTCCCTCTCTGCTTACTGTCTACCTGTTTTCTTTTTTAGATGATCATAGATCACACTCCCTTGGTAACATCTGAAGCAGCAGGTGATTTAAAGAGATGAAACCAAAGCTCCAACACTAGTAGTGGTAATAATGTGTGAATCCAAAAACATGCACACACACTCTTTCCATTCGCATGATTCTGTTTTGTTCATGACAGTGTTGGTGAAACTGTGGACACACGCACAGGCCCGATCTCCTCCACCACCACCACCACCACACTTTAGCCATAGGTGGATGCAGACACGCCCTTGATCAGTCGTTTGCATACGTCTGCGCCGCCACTCTGTTTATGAAAATAACAGCAAAGAAATGCACTTTCACACAAGTGTTTTTATTACCCGCTGCTGTCACTCACACAGCTGCACTGATCATCAGCAGTGGTGTCATCATTCGATTAGAGTAAACCACTCATATTCAATTTGTCCACGATAAAACATGAAATGAAAACGAATTAGTTAACATAAAAGTGATTCAAATAAAGTTTTAAATTATATTTAATTTTAAAGTGTGTAGATTGGAAAATAAAATAACAGAATAATGTAAGTAAGTAAATCCGTTTATGTGCAGGAACTAGTTTTTGGTTTGTTTGCATCATTTACACATCTGGCCCCAGCAGTCCATTCATGCACTTTTAATAACACGTCTTTTTCAGTTTAACTACCACCTTTTAAACTTTTTTAAGTTTTCTTTGTAGTTATTGCGATTTAAAGCTCCTCCAGTGTAACGGTCTCTGTCCATGTGTAGTGTGATTATAGATCAGCTCTAGCTTCTATATTAATACTGTGAAAGTATCAAAGCCTCAGTCCACAGAGAAATGCACACAGCCTGTATTCAGAAACTGAGCCTTAAAACCAGCCGTCAGGACTTCTGGAACTTTGTGATGTCACAACAAAGCAGTCACCAAGCCCCGCCCACCTGGACCCACCATCCAAACCTTGCAAGATTTGGTTTCTCTGAGTGTTTTTATCTGAAATCTGCTAGATTTTTATTGGATCACTCAGAAAACAGTCAGCCAATCAGAAGAGAGGCTCAGAGCCTCCTCTCTTCTGATTGGCTCACCGACCTGTTGTTACTAGAACTGCAGAGAGAAGCCTGAGAGAGGAGATGTAAAACTTCACTGAGATGGTTTTTATATCTTCTGATGGATCAACACTTCAAATAAAACACAGAAGAAGAAGAAAATATGGAGCTTGAACTGTGACCACTGAAGAATTATGATCATATTTCTATGTATTACTGTTTCTCATTTATTTATTTGAACTTTAACGAAAACAAAGACAAGATAAAAACAGAAGACATCCAGATTTCGTCTGCATCATGAAACTGGGATTCTGGGAAGATCAAAAACTTTCCTTCCCGTGTGTGTTTCTATTCTACAGCATGTGACGGTTTACAGTCCAGCTGTTCTCCGACAATACTTTTCACTGCGTGGACATTTTCACTTGATCAATGTCGCCGTCTCCCCTCGTCCTGCTCCTCACGCTGTCTGCGACCCACCGTCACATGCACATTACAAACTGCCTGAGTGTGACATCAGGGCCGTCTCTTCACGTATCATCTTCTGCCGGGACGTGATCTCCAACACGTTTCACACTAACTCGTCTTCACCGTCTGGGGGTTGACAGTTCAGGGCCCCTCGGCCCTTGAGTGACAGCGCGATGTGACCGTTTGGTCAACAGCGATCATCGCCCGCCGTCTCGGTCCGGCCACACCTGTTCTACAGTCCACAAGTGCGGCTTATTTTTAAGAGTGGTGGCTGCTGGGAAATAATGGCAGTGGAGCACAAGTGAATTGTCTGTTCAGGATGAGGATATTTTAACTTTTTATTGTTTTGTAGCTGCATGTTTGTATGAATTGATTCAGCGACACCCCCGTCCCCACTTCTCGCCCTCCCCTCCTCTCTAAGCTGAAGCACCATTACGGCTTTTCATTCTACTTCCTGTACAGATTTTTATTTTATTCCCCCCCCCCCCCCTCCGTCTCCACGCCCCCTCCCCTCAACACAAAAGGTGGCTGCCAGGGCTCTCGGGGTGTAGCACTTTTGAAATGTGAAGGGCTTTCAGGAGCTGCCCTCGTACAGACGTCTGTTAGTCTGACAAGAGAGGAGCAGAGGGAAATGAAGGACAGGTTTGTGTAATGGTCCCCCCCCCCCCGCCGAAGGTCACGCAGCATTGTTGGCCGGGCGGAGGTCTAAAAGACAGGCCTTTGGAGAACCACAAAGCGGAGGTTTGGCAGGACTAATGAAACTCAGAGCTACACGTTAATGATCTAAAAGACTGGACCAAAACACTCAGCCGTCCCTTTCCGCTCGCATTCAGCCTCCTCTTGATCGCTCCTTCCAAATAATGACAAGGCACTCTCCTCCTCTACCTTTATTGTAACCTTTGATGTCCGCCTTGTTTTCTTTGTCTCCACATCCCCCCCTCCCTCCTTTTCATTCCTTTATGTTACGCGGCTGTCACTCATCTATTAAGGCAACAAATGAAACAAGGAAAACATTCAGAGAGTGTATTGTGGTGCATGCACAGGTTTGCTCTTTATTTCTTTTGAAAGCACTTGAACTTGGAATTTTACTTGGTCGCCCCATTGAATCAGCAGGATACACTTCTTTTTTTTTTTTTTATTGTGGCCATTGTCACAGGATTACAAACATATTTGTTTTATAATCCACATTTCTAATCCCCTATAGTTTAATGCTTCTATAGAACTGTTTATATCTGACTGTTTCTTTTCTCATTGTATTAGAAAAATGAAAACACACACAAAAAGAAAGATATTGTTACACTTACCTCCAGTGGGTAAGCACAGTTTTTTTTATTTGTCTAGGGCCTCCACTCAGTACAATGGAGCTAAATGGAGTTGTGGTTGGGGAAACAGTTCACAGTGAGTCTATTGAACTGGAATAAATGCAGAAGTCTCCCATGTAAACGTCTCAAAACATGGGCAAATAAAAATAAATACAATTTGCATATTTTTCTGTAATTTGGATAAACCAATTATTTAAACCTTCAAACTAGTTTTATGAAAAAGATGAAGATAAGAAAAATACAGACAACATAAGGGAGAATTGTTGTTGTGCAGACGGTGAATTGAAATCATCACACGATGGCAGAAAACAAAACAGCTTTTAATTTACTTAAACTTGAAAGGTCAGGAAGGAAAACCCTCCTGAACTCAAGGTCCTCTTACTACCTTTGACCTGCATAATGTCGTCTGAGATGTGGTTGAAAGATCCTGATAAAACTAGCAAGTGCACCTTGAGTTAAGATGATTTTTGTTCGTTTAGTTTCCTGGTCGTCTTGTGCAGAGTCAGTCCCAAGTCCGTCAAAAAAAAATGAGCTGGTTCCTAAAAAAACAAAAAACAAAAAGAAGAATTAGAAATGAAGTTCCAGAGATGCTCAGACACCTGGAAAATCTGAACGTCCATGTTGCATGAGATATCTGCAGAACAAACCAGTAACTGCACTTGGAATTAACTGAGAAGCTAAAAACATAAATCAAATAACATTAACATTAATTTCATCATCACAAAACTTGAAGCTTCAGGTTGCACAAATTATTTTATTATCCTGTATTCAGTGTAATCTTTGCAGCTTCAGAATATATAGATATAGAAATATAGATATATATAATGTAAATGTTAAGTTGCATAGTAAGTGAAGCCGCAGCCCTCCGTATAATGTGATGTAGCTGGTGGAGGTCCTTGAAGACGCCCTTTGACATGGCCTGATTATGTTTAGCTGGAGCTGCGTAGGATATATGAGATGAGATGTGTACTGTGTGTGTGTGTGTGTGTGTGTGTGTGTGTGTGTGTGTGTGTGTGTGTGTGTGTGTGTGTGTGTGTGTGTGTGCAGCCTTGTTTTACTATGTTCATGAGGTCAGAACACTGGGAGCCCACTATACTTGTAAATGCTGGACCTCTTGGTTTTGGGGTTAGTGTTAGACATTCAGTTGTGATGGTTGAGGTTAGTTTAAGTGGCTGGAGAATGCTTTATGTCAATGACGAGTCCCCACAGATATAGTACAATGAGTGTGTGTGTGTGTGTGTGTTGAGGCAGTGTGTAGGGCCTGTTGATTGGCCTTGATTAACAGACTTTTCAGGCACTCGACGCAGAGCTGCAGCTCCTCTAATGCAGCATCTTGAGCTGGTTATTTCCAGTCATTCCACAGGAGGCCTCAGAGCCTGGGTCGTGTGTGTGTTTGTGTGCACATGGATTTCTACACATTTTAGCTCCATGCCATCGTTGTGAGGACATTTTGCCCCGGTCTGCAGAACTTGAGAGGACTGTTTGAGGGTTAAGACTTGGTGCAGTTAGGTTTAAGTTAAGGTTGGCGGGTTGGTAATGCATTAAATATTAAATATTAAATATTAAAACAAAACTTTTCTCTTGCAGAAGAAGTTGTGTCTTTTCCCTAAAACAAAATATTTTGGCCATCTGCTGAATTCTGGGTCTTCAACCCTGATATGAATTGTCAGATGAAATGTTTAATTGAATTCCAGAATTGGCATCTGTAAAGACCTCTGGACAGAAAGACGGACCACTGAGCACTGAAAAAATGAATTATGTATAAAAGGTTGTACCAGTATTCACAATGGGATTCTCAGTATTCTGCAGCCATTACCTGGGAAAAGGGCCTCATTGACATATTTGTTATGTTCCATTGTAAATCTATGAAAAGGACATTTCTCTGACCTTGCTGTCCAGGGAACATGCAGTGCTGTTCACTGAAAACACTTTTAGTAATAATCCTGTGTGTGTGTGTGTGTGTGTGTGTGTTTCCAGTCAAGCTGAGCAACCAGGACTCGTACAACAACTTCACCAATAACAACATGGGGAACCCTCGGCTGTCCCCGCTGCCCAGCCTCACTGTGGTGCTGCCTCTGGCTCAGATCAAACAGCCCATGACCCTGGGAACCATCACTAAACGCAGCGGGTAGGTGACGCCCACAAACACACGTCCTCACAGCACTGGTCTTCTTCATAGTGTCTGAATACTTACTGAATACACTGTATTTTAACCTCCTCATTTACCATTTACAAGCAGTGTATAAACACTTAATGAACTGTCTATAACACAGTATAATGTAGTTTTAAGCAGGTACAAGGACATTTTTAAGTTTATAAATGTATTTATCAGCAGTTATAATTCCTCTATCATATGAACTGGTGTTATAAAGCATTTATTAACTGTTTATACACATGTACAGATCATTCACAGATGGGTTTTAAACTGTTCATAAACCTCATGGAGACTTGTTGAGCTGAAATGTTTCAGTCTTGGCCTCAGGTATTCGGCCAGTGGTGATTTTCAAAATGTGATATCTCGATACAGTCCAACTCCAATATCGTGACATACGATATTATCGCGGAGTATCGCAGTTCAAAGTTTTAATTGTCACATGCTGAATACAATGTGCAGTAAGCAAAGCAGTGAAATGACGGCGTGCAAAACTGGAAACCTGCAAAAATAAAAAATAAAAAAATCACTCTAGTGAAAAATATTGTGGGAAATATTGCAATAATCAATAACATCAAACTGTGGCCCAAACCCATCAGAAATAATACTAAACTATCAACTCAAGGTCCACTTACCCGATTTCTCCTGGAGCTTTCAGCCACATATCTTGGCCTACATGAGCAGATGGAGTTGTACTGGAGAATGAGAAATATTTATTTATAAATAATTATTACTTATGATTAATAAATACTTGTATTAAATATTTAAAATTTAAAATTCATATTTTATACTTTGTCGTGTTATATTGTTGAGTTTTCCGCTGTCTTCACAAACCTTCCACCACTTCGTACCAGGAGTTGTTGACAAATATAAAATTAATTAATTAAAACAGTTGATTAATTGTTTGCAAATGTTGAATGGGAGTTAAATAAAGTTTAACAACGACTAAACAATTTAAACACTAGAACATAAGAAGGAGTAAATCAAACTGTAATGAGTCCAGATGGGTTGGGAGGAGACGGCTTAACGGCAGCCTCATGGTCAAGTAAAATTCAAGTTAAACCACGATAAATATTTAACTGATTTGCTGCCGTTCTCCATTAATCACGCTGTAAAAACACTAAATCGTGTCAGCAGCAGCGGCAGCAGCAGCTTTCACATCCAGCTGATGCTCATGGACTCCTTTTGTCTCAGGCCACCACTTTTTTTTATTTTTTTTTGCATAGGGTAATGAAGCACAACACACGAGCGAACTCTGCTCGGACTCTGGCTGAAAAACACACGTCAGCTGTTGCAGGAAAAGTAATAAAAAAAACTCTGCTGATTAATTAGAATCACGTTGAAGTCGTATGAAATGCGGCGTGTCTCTCGTCGGCTCCGAGTCCTGAAACCAGTTGAAACATCAGACAGCTCTGCTCTCATGCACCTCTGTCCTCTCTCTCTCTCTCTCTCTCTGTCTCTCTCTCTTTTTATTTTTTTTTCCACTTGGATCTTCGCCATGCATTGAAATTTTGTAGTTTTAAGACCATCAGCAACTACAGGCCTTTGCTAAGTGCATTTACATACAGTACAGGTGGCTCCACAAATATGGGCAGATTTTAATATTTTCATTTAAATGTAATTTTCATGCCCTGTTTGAATGGGAAATGCTATAATGATTCAAGCAGATGGCGAGGGATTTATTTCCCCGTGATATTTGATAAGTGAGCTTTGAGGATGAAAATAGAGACCTGGTCCTGTGGTCAAGGTAAACATCGGGCCATTTTCCAAATCATTAAGATGACTTGCAGAGTTAATTTGGCTTGTAAACTTTGTTATTGCTTATGGGCTACTGTGGTGTCCTGCTCTGGTGTATTTATGATGATGTCCTGGTACCGGTGGTTTGCATCTGGTTTTGCAGTTGTAATATTTAACGTCACACAAAGCAGGGGCCTCTCAGAATATGTCGGATTGATTTTAATTCGAGGCCTTTTTAAAAGGGTAAATAATCCACCTTCAGTGAATCTTTCAGATTGTTTGTTCTTATCAGTAGTTTATAGTTTCCTTAACTGTGCTTCGCTCAGTCAGAAAAAGGTCTCACGATTTAACTTTCATATTTTTCCTGTGGTTTTCTTTATCGTCTCGGTGCTGTCATAGACACTCATCCCTTCTTAGTTTTGTTTATTCATCAATGCTTCATCTTTTGTGTCACATTTAAGTGCCAATCACTGAATATATTAAGTTGCATTCACCTGGTTTCACCTCAAGAGTAATCACTACTTTCATTCATGCATTTATTTATTCATTTATTTTTACTGCTGCTACGAGCAGATTTGCGTTTCCAAGACGTTCCTTTCCAGTCAGTTAGTTTAGTTAGTGCTCTGAAATAAAGCGCTGGCTGAGGTTTTAAATGTTTTTATATTTGTCCAGATAAAATACCGAGCTTCGATACAATATTTTGAAGATTTTAAAAAAAGTTTTGCCCAAATAAAATGAAAACAAACTTCTGAAACTGCAGTTACGTCCGTTACAAATCAACCTCAACATCATGTTAGTGTCAGTGTTTTCTGACTTCCCCTCCCCGTCTGTGACGCTCAGTCCCAAGCTAATCTGTTTCTACTGAAGATGTAAATCTTTAAAGAATTAGTCACTAAGGTGTTTCAAATATTTAGAAACATCAGGGAGGGCAGACTAAATATTAGAAACAAGTCTCTACACCGTGAAGAAAAACATGATCTCTGCAGGGACTTTATATGACTGCATTACTTTAATTAAGATGTACCTAATAAATCGGTAAATGAGTGTAGTTTTATTTTTAAAAAATGTGTTTTTAATCTTTAACAGTTTTCAGATGGAGAAAGAGTTGAACAAATAATAAATCAGGTTTTTGGATTCGTACATTATATATTTTATAGTTGGATCCGTTTTTCGTTTGATTCGTCGACAGCCCCAAATCGTCACCGTGTACAAATATATATATCACATGCACTATTTCTCCCCCTGGACCCGCTCATCAAACACCTGCAACAGCTGTATCAGCTCCGTAGGTCATCATCAGGCCCGGTAGGCTGCTTCACTTCTCCTCCATCCATCCACCCATCCATCCATCCATCCACACACCCGTCCAGTCCAGAGGAGGCGTCAGTATTAATGCAACAGGACATGCAGCTGTGTAGCCTGCTCCTGCATGCACACAGCTGTACCAATACACCAAACACACACACACACACACACACACACACACACTGGGTGAGGCAGCAGGTTTGGCCCCTAGAGTTGGGGGGTGATATCGTATGCTTTCACGCTATAGTTGCACAGGAGTACCCAGGCACCATCTGTCTGTCTGTGCAGCCAGCCATCGCTCTCTTTTTGTGTGTGTGTGTGTGTGTGTGTGTGTGTGAGAGACAGACAGAGAGAGAGAGAGAGAGAGAGAGAGAGAGAGAGAGAGAGAGAGGAGCATCCGGCAGCTGTATTTACACCTGTATGAGCAGATCCCTGTTGGCAGGGCAGCAGAGGAACACACCAGCTGCTTAATCTACATTCCCTACCAGACTGTCATTGTGCGCACTGTGCGGTAACACGCACACGCACACACACACACACACACAGCAACACACACACGTACACACACGCTGATGAAGCTTTTACCCAATTTGTGACCAGGCCAATTGCAGGGATACCTTCATAGACCTTGGCGCAGCTCTGGACCACCAGTGTGCAAAATGTGCTGCTGTTAGTCTTCAGAGGCCTCAAAGTTTTAACATCAAAGAAAACCTCAGTAAGTTCAAGCAGAGCCCCCTCCTCTCTTAATTTAGATTCTGGTGTTTTGGGAGGTAGAGTCGGATGTGGCTCAGCATCCGCCTGATAACCCCCCCCCCCTCTCTCTCTCCACAAGAGGCCAGGTCAGGGAGTGGAGGAGCTCAGCCAAGCTTCTGCTAGTCCTCAAAGTCTCCTGGGAGTCCCAAACGTGGAGAGGAGTGTCGGCTCTGACCCGGCCTCTTGTTTCCTGTCAGCCAAATTTGGCACGGGAAGGCTGGACTGAGATTAATTAAATCCCGCCGAAGAAAAAGACACAAAATCCAAATGATTCTCTCTTGGTGAAATGTCACTGTCAGACCTTAATCTGTGAAAAAGATTGAGAGAAATATTCAGTCGGCTCCCAGTAAAGTCGACTTGTCCCCGCAGTCACGGAGTTCTGTGCGGATAGATTTAACTTGTCCAAATGCCTGTCAGTGTCAAATTTGGGATTTGCGAGCAGACAAACTATTGCACACTTATCCCATCTACACACTGTCTGACTTTAACACAGACAAATGAAAATCCAAATGGAAAGATTGTCACACACACACACACAAAACAAAACACCACCCTTGTCCAAATCCCTCTGATGACATTTTCAAGCAAATGCAGACAGAGTGCAGGCGAGGTAATGAGAAAGACAACAGCGAAAGAACGAGCGAGACCCCGTGACCCGCCGCAGATGTGCCTTCAGATTACTGTAATACGTATGTAAGAGCCATTGTCACACAGAGCCAAAGCCAGAGAGGGGCTTTAAGAATGCAATGCCCAGCGCCACATGGCAGCGGGACTAAACCATTTGCACAAATCACCTCACTTCCCTCCCTTTTTAATAGCCCAGGCGGAGCAGCTATTAGGGCCAACGGGTTAAGAGATAAATGTGTGAATGACTGTTCCCCGGGAGTGGGGTCGGCGCCCTTACAGGTCGATTACGCTCGCTCTTTTCCTCTCTCTCTCTCGCTCTCTCTCTCCACCACTTCTCTTCCGCTGTTTTCTGCTTCCTCTTCCACAGTCTTACATCCCCTTTTACTCCAGTGACCCATGTTTACCTTGTTTCCCAACACGCTGCTGACCTGTGGGGACTCCGGATCAGGTGGTGCGTCACTTAAACTGGGCGGCCTTTGTCTACAATGTGGTGAAAAACTGTTTACCGCCGGCTCAACATGGTGGATGGTTTTCTCAGCATGACCTCATTATTT